ATTAACAGAAGATAATTTGTAAAATTTCCCAGGTCTATCCCCTATTACCTTTTAAATCATCACCTGATTTCACTAACATTAAATCTTATTTCGTGGTCTGAAAACTGGCTTTCTGAAAATTAGGGTTTTAAAATTGGATTTATTTTTTCATCTCAACATGTACAACACTCTTCCCCCTACTTCAACTCCGGTAACATATCTTAAATAATTAGCGTTAACAATAAATTTAAAAATGACATCTTCATTGATTGGTTCTATTCCTATTTAGTACAGATAACCATCCTGAATTATTCAAGAATATTTCTCACTCTTACTATTTTATACTACACAACCACAATCTCATCTATTTTACATCATAAGGTTCCAATCAATCTGTGTAAAATTAAAATCTCTCATACTTACTGCATCAGTATTCTTATTAGTAACAACACAGCTCTGATCTCATTATATAGTTTCTCATTGACTTTATCCGCCTGATCAGGTGGCCTAAAGCAATGGACAATTGACAACGTTCTGTCCTAGAACGTTTTGGTTGAAACCAGTATAGATTCAATCTTTCCCAACCTAAAAACCCCATTCCACTTATCCCTGAACTACATCTAACCATACTGAAGTTAAATATTTTTTCATTTTCTATTACCGAACTATCCATCCAATAATACAGTTTATTTAAAATCAAGCTATTTCACAGTTATATATTAATATAATACTAAAAATGTCATATTAACTAATACTGATATTGTTATTACTAGCGCCGCAGCCATAAATATGATGTACACTATTCATTTACTGATCTAGTTACATATAATATTATATTATAACTGATTATTAATTTAAATAATTTACTGACGTATTAAAATTTAAATATCAGCAGTAACAAAATAACACAAACAATAATTTAATCTCGTAAGACAAATATATCTTACTTAGTTTACACTTGTAGTGTTTCCATATTTTAATTTAATGTTTAGTAACGTTAGTATTCTATAATCTAGAGCTAGTAAACATCAGTAAGTTACTTAGATTTAACGATCTCGTATTAAGCCTAAAGTCGTAACTTTAGGCTTAGTTTTACCTGCAGTTATAAAACTTAAAATGTCCCAACTTAACTAAAATTATTTTATAAACTTTAATAATACTAAACCGATACTTCTCTTTTCCAGAAAAGATGCTGTAATCTACAATTACAATTATTTGTAATTTCTCTTTTTTCAGAGCTCAAAAACATTCTGTCAGTTCCCGTCAAGAGCCGTATCTTCAACAAGATATAACATTCCAAGATTCTTAAACATTCTTTTAATACAAGTAAGTGTTTAATGAATTAATTCTCAGACTGGCTGAAGTTGAAAGAAATGTTGATACACTTCTAGATAATTCTTAATCAATTATAATACTATTTAGAATATTCTACGCAACCTCTCAGTGAGATAGGGACCACTCATTTCTACAGCTTTCTTGAGCAAAAAAGTTGCTAGAAACTTTAGATTATGTGAGAAACACAAGGCAAAATCTAAATATTTCCGAAAAGCAAAATAGCCGTAAGTTCACAGTGATTTTACTTGCATTCACTGAACGCTTATATTAAATATTTGAAATCTCACTTCAAGTGCAAAGAATTAAGCCTAACTGAAAACAAGAAAGAAAAAAAAACAACACTTACATTAGACTTTTATAAATTACGACATTTAATTAATTAATATATAACTGCAAATAACCCATAGGACGAGCACAAACACTTTATACTTTCGACCGTGTTAGCTAATACCCAAACAACAGCTAAAAATGGAAATATTAAACCAAAAAAATATACTTAGGATACTTTAAATCCTGATAGACTTTTATAAAACTGGAGAATCTCTAGGAACTTATTCCCTGTTGCCTATAGATTATAAATTAGGATTGATTTTTTAAAGAAAATGATCATAGTTATCTATAGAAAGCAAAGAAAAATGGAAACTTTCCAAGCTCATACAACATTTGCACTAACAATTTTGGCAGTAAAAGACCATAAGAAAAACAACTGGGAAGAAGTGAAAGTGAAAAAGTCTTATTTAGACAAAAAAAGTTGAAAATAACATACTTGGGTGTAAAATTTGAAAATAATCCTCAATATTGTACAGCTTTTATTGCATTTTCTTTGTTTATTTTCAATTTGATTTCTTTCTCACTTAAGCTTAATGTGATTTAAATTATAAAATTTATCCTTTATAACACATTTTTGTCAGAAAAATAAGCGAAAGGAAAGAAGGTTATTGAAAAAACTAGTGTTATAGTGACTAAGCTAAACACTTTATGTGTTTGTACTAGATACCGTTGGTTTCAGATATACTTACCAGTAAATGAGTTTTCGTCAACGCTTAATAACTTCCTAATAGTTCACTATCGGTTATTAAAACATAAATATAATTTTAAAATATATCGAAAAGTCAGTTGTAAAATAAATAATATGTATGCGTATACTAGAAAAATTCATTAGGGAACAACTAATTATTGGAACGCATTTTATAAGTTACTAAATTTTAGCTTACAAACTAGTACTGAAAGTTAAAAAGTTGTGGTTTTCTTAAGATAAAGTTGCAATACACCAGTATGTTGAACATGGAACTTCTCTACAATAGTTCCTTTTCATGTTACAACTCCTAGTTTGGAAGTGTCGTTATCAACATCAGGGCTTAGAGTTTGTCTATTTATTGAATTTCGCGCAAAGCTACACGAGGGCTATCTGCGTTATCTGTCCCTACTTTGGACGTTATAGAATATAGAGAATGCAGCTACTCAACATCACCCACCGCCAACTGTTAGGGTTACTCTTTATAAACGAATAATGGGATTGACCGTCATATTATAACGCCCCACAGCATGTTCGAAGACAGGTTTTGATCACGCGATCCGCATATTTTGAGTAGAGCGCTCTAACCACCACGCCATGGGTGACGAAAATTAGTTGTCATTATGGGTTTTGTCCACTTAGTAGCAAATATGTCCATCTCGAGGGTTTAACAAAAACCTATACAACGTCCCTGACAAAACTCTGGGTGTAGTTCGGGCGAATGTTTAAAATGTATTTAACAGCTGATCCAGTGGGTCTAATGAGGAAGGAAACATGAAAATCGCCCCTGAAGCTGGTTTTAGACGTGTTTATGAGTTGAAAGTCCAGGAAATATGCGAGCATATCTATCGAAGCAGATACAACTTTAAAAAGTATACTCCTAAACCTGCCATAGTCAACTTCCGTGACGATATCCAGCTTTTCTTCTTTTAATACTTTAATGACACAGTATCCTGAGCAAGATCTTATCCAAAGGTGACAATTCTTAGAATACCGAAATAACTTGAAAATCAGCAGTTTGTGTGTGTTTATGTAGACATTGGTAATCCTGTTTTACTTTAGCCGTGTTAAAGAAGAAAAAAAACAACAACAAAAGAAAGTATATTATCTAAGATTTGATGATCGTGGATAAGCGTAATAGTAAATACATTTTTTTCTGTTCTTAGTATATTGTATATCAGTTACACGAGTAATAACTGACAAATAAATAAATACAAGTATTGGAGATTACAAACTTGATCTTAATTGAAATTACAATGTAGAAAATCCCTTTGAACACGTAGCAAAAAGAAAACGACAAACTTCCAATTATTCATAAATGTAACAGTCATAACAGTCACTACGATATACAGATTGCCATCAGAGAAAAGTGAAATATATTAGTATTTACATTTTTACAGGTATGTTTAACTGGTTATCGTTCATTACAAGAGGGATGGTGGGGCATTATATCATTCAATCTCCCATATATTAACATAGCCATCCTCTAAAGATTATTTAGCTAGCTCATCTACTTTGTTCTATCGTGGTTTCTGACACTAGCTGTAAAATAAAGGAATGTAGAGATATATATGGGTTGTCCGTCATGATGTCACATAGGTGACTTACTTTACACAGGATAAAGGTTCACTAATGCTACAAATTATGTTTCAATTCACCCCTTACCTTTAACGTGTCTTAAGTTAACAGGAAAGGGAATTTCGTATTTATTGATATAAGTTTTTTGAGGTTAATTGACTTTCTGAGCATAAAAAAGTCGGTGTTTTTCTAAAGAAGCTGTTTCCCGCCTTAAAAGATCAATACCTTCTTAATCAAAGCAGGAAGAAACAGACGACAAAAGATATTTTGACATATAATGAAATGTTAAAGAGAAAAATTGTATTCAAAGCAATAGTTTAATTCGTTCGTCCGCTGTCAGCACAGACTGCAGCTTTTAAATATCAATCATAGTTTAAGTAATTTAATTAAAATTAGATGCATAAGATCAAACTCAGAGATTGGTTGAAACAGAAAAGTGTGACGTTAAAGGACTTTCAGAGTCATTTTAATGGTTTAAATGAACTTTTAAAAACAATCATCAAAATACAATACATATTTAAAAATATTTACATAAATGTGCATGAAAATGTATTAACTTAGAATACTTCAGGTTTTGCCATTTCAAGAACAAAATTGAAATTAGTCAAATTATAAAAAAAATTACCCACTTTTAATTTTCAGTAATTAATCTCTTTTTACCCATCTCTCTGATGTTTTTAATGAACTGAATCTATTTTTATTTCTGCTACTATAATCTTCAACTGATTTAGACTAAAACCTATCTGGTTATATTTTCCAGTTTGATTTAGAGAAATATATTTTACATAAAAAAGTCAATGAATTCATTGAATTTTACGTTGTCTATAATCACGCATCAGTGACTCTTAATGTATTTTCGAGAGCCCAACAATAAAAACTTGGATGGTTTAGTATCGTAATATTGGTTCTATTCCTTAATGAAAATCAAGTCTTAACTGGTTTATCTAAAGCACAAGGGTTTTTTACTTTTATCAGAACATAGCTATCTGGAATGCTTAAAAGTTGTCTTTTAATCAAAACTATCTCAGGCAGGATTGATGAAATTAAACGAAAGAAGTAGTTTAGGAAACATTTCTGAGTGAATACAACTTACCAGGAACTTGTAGCATAAAAAGAACTCCATGAACTAAAGATGAAACAAACATAGTTCTTGACCTCTCTAGCTGTAAACAGTGTTTAGAAGTTGCCCTAATGGAGTCAGAAAAAATAACCGCGGAAGATTTTAATAACTGTGTTCATGAATCCAATGACTTTGAAAAGAAAACTTTACAGACAATAACCAAAAACTGTTACTCAAGTTTATAAAATTTCAAGCTATCATGAAATCTCAAGAAGAAAAAGTTCGTAATACAAACTAGATCATGTACACTGGTCAACTTTTATTTGAAACTCAAACCAACGGAACGAGCGAAGCGACTTTCCTAACCCTGGTAGCACTTACTACGGGACTAAAGATGAGACAACACAAGCTACACGTCTGCCAACAAACCGTGGGAGCCCAAAGTGTGGATGTCCGATGGCAGACTCCTGCTCTTTATTTAGAACACCTGCACTTCTATATCGATCAACCCACTTGTGTTTCTGTGGCGCCCTCTTACACTGTGAAAACTCATACTTTTTGTGCACGAATGTACCTTGTATGATTTCGTTTGGAGTTTGCAAGACTCGATATCAAGCTATTAATAATGTTTGCAGATAAAATTATGAGCCTAAAGTTCCATTTATTTATATATGCATATAGATGCATTATGTTTGTTATTTTATGGTCAGTTTTAAACTCATAAAACTCTTAATATTTGGGCAAAAACAGCCACAAAATTGACTACAACTTGCTGTGAATAAAATCCATCTTTTTATTTTTCTGAAATAAAACTATTAAGGATACCCAAAATATTATTTAAAAAACAATTATTTAAGACAAAGTCAAGGGAACATGATGAAAGTTTTACTTGAATAAAAACTAGCAGGGTCTAAAGAAGAAGCAGAAAAAGTTCATGCGGATGGATACGTGACAGAATACAGAGAGTACCATGAAATCAAACATGATTTGAAGGAACTTTAGCTAAAACATTAAAGTCCTTAGAGCAAGTTTTATCGTATTCTAAGATAAGTCGGCAGGATCAGACGGTCAGATGGAGTTAATTAAAGTCGCCAGTAACAAAGAAAGAATGGGCTTTATAGCTTCAATTAATATAACCCAACTGAAAAACGTGATTGCCCCCAAGCTTCATAAATCTTCCTTTCGTTTCTTACCCAGGCTCATGGGCCGAATGTTGTTGACAAGACCGATGCAGCAAGCCAGATGACGGTAACAACTGACAATATTTGTTAGACAAGGAAGCTGCTATCTTCTCATTTCTCTCCAAGACGCACTAATTAGAGGACCCGACCCTGGGTTAACGAAACCGAACAGTCACGTTTGTTTCAGACAAGCAGCCTTTAGCTAGTTAGCCGTAAACAATCGACCGGGTTACAAACCACCCTAAGCACTGAGAAATCGGTGCCTGTAGACCATAGAACCTACTATTTGGTAGATCGTTGGATCTTTATTGGCTTATCTTCGTTGGCTCTGGAAGAAAACATATATCAGTAGCTTGTAGAGCAAGCAATAAGAAAAACATGCGTACTTGAATGGATATAAGATAGCTAGTTAGTTAGCCAGACAGAAATAGTTAGATAACTAAAACAAATATGTATTTGTTTGAGAGATAAGAAGATAGATAAACAAGAATATCAGAAAGAGAAAAGTTTAAGTTCATATAGTGAGGCAGAAAAAAAACACGTTTTCAAAAACAGTTTGATAGAAAAGATAAAATGTCGGACAAATAATAAACAACAAATCAGATGTATAGAAAATAGAACTGGTATATATTTGTAAAGCCAGAGATTATATAAAAAACAAATCACATAAAGATATTAAAATAGATGATAGACGGATAGATAAAATTGTTTAAAAAGTAAGATTACGAGAAAAGTAACAAAACAAATTTTCAAAGTTTAAAACCTTCAGTGAGTTTAGTTTAAGCTCGTAATGTTATCTTGACAATAATGAATGATCTCAGCCTACTTGCAACATTAAAACATAGCAACTTAGTCAAAAATACTTGTTTATGAGCATCCAGAGTTTGGAATTGAACCCCCATTTTCGTCGTTATAAGCGCTCATTGCTTCCTCTGTACCAAGGGAAGGGAACGTAGATCCAAGGGTGAACAAAGCATACAGACTTTAGTAATCATGGTGTTAAAAAAATACGCAGGTTCAAGAAGTCTTGATAGAAATGAATAAAAACCCTATAACCCGAGCACTTTCGAAAGGTGGACCTTTCTTCTTCAGGGGTAAACTAGTAATCAAATATCGCTTGCACTTTTGTAATTTTTTGGATACTTTTTTGTTCAACACTACTTTATGAAGACCACCTTAATTTCACAAAAGTTAAAGTCACTTACTCAAAATATTTTTTTCTTTTTTTACCTTTCCTAGAATGCTGTGAATGTAAGTTTGAAAGTACTGACTTATAAAGATCACATTCTAGAAGCTGAACAACACACCACGTCATTCGGCTTGTTTTGGCTTTTAAGCACAAAGCTATATAATGAGATATTTGGCCACAATACTTTTCCCTTTAACTCTTAACTTTAAATTTTTTCCGACTTTATAAACTGTAATAAAGAAAGCAGGACCTGTACATAAGGGGGTGAATAAGTTTGCTTGTATTTGGCTATGATCTTGGTTTTTGAACAAAATCAAAACCAAATAACTATCCATTTCACATATATTGACAAAACTGGATATAAAAGTGCTTTTTTGTTGTATATGAACGATGATATCGCTATGGCTCTCAGAATTACTTCGTAGTTATCTTACGGAAATACTCATGTTTGTAAACCACTGTGATTAATTTGGACTATTCTTATCATAAAATGTTTTCTTTCAATGATAAAATTGTTGAAAGGCACAAGTGATACTCGTACAGGAGTCACAGAGAATGAGTAATTGCAACTAAGTAGAAAACTTATAACTAATACAATGCAAAAAAAAACTAATAAGTTGTATAATGCACTGAAATTTTGTATTTAGTTAAACATAGCAGTACACTTGTTTTTATTCTCTTATAAGTTCATCGGTGTATGGTTTTGAAATATTCCGCCAAATTTCATTTGTTACTCACAACAACTCAGTCAAGCTGTTTGTTTGCTGTTGGATTCTCTCAGTTTCCATATAACCGATTAAGGCTTTAATAAAATTTATATAGGGACTTTGTGAAGGCCTTTTTTAAAATCCAGGTATCGTTTCACCACATTTGCTGTATGCTTTGGGACACTGTCTTGCTGAAAAAAGACTATTTGCTCAACACGTTCTGAGGGGACTGTATGACGGGTAAGAATCTCATTTTACCTTTAGCAATCACTTCTGTTTAGATTTCCAACATCACTGGTTGAGATACAGCACACACACTTGTTTTGTTCTCACAAGGTGCTTCACTGTAGATGTTCATATACACTGACAGTCACAACGTTCTTCTCACTGTCATCTAGCAAACAGTTATATTTGGATTCATCTGTAAAGAATACCATATCCTCTTCTGGCTTTTCTGGTCCCATTGTTTGAAGTCTTTTTCAGCCTTTCGGATTGGTTATTTTTCCTAAGCAGTGGCTTTTGAGCAGCTACACATACATTGAGACCACTTCGTGATACTATTTATCCTGTTGTTTTGGAAGTAACATTTACCACACACTGTTGGGATGTCTACCTCGGCCATTTATGTTATCAACAGTACTAGTTTCAGATATCCTCTTCATAATTTCTATACAACTCCTACCGAAACATAAAATTTCACCTCAACCTATCGCAAAGAATAGCCGTCTCAAGACCAAAACTTTGATTTCTACATAATTTTTCATGTGGTATTTCTGTCAAGGAAGCCATAAGTACCATCGTCACACTACTGCTGGGAATAGTATGATTTCCGGTAATTCTATAGGTATTATGCTGATTTGGCACTGTCTGGTTGGTTGGCTGAAATGTAATCACAACATGTGACTGTACTCTGGCAAGGTTCATTTTCGTACAATAGAGAGGGGAATAATTCCATAACATTCACTGTTTTGCATATTCTCTCCAATACTGTACATTTAAAATATCCTCTTCAATCACAATAGCTATAATCTTGCACGATTAATTGCGTGATAACCAAGGTAACTGAGTTGTTAAAACGTACGTCATTGGCAGTTGATAGGGGTTAACCCTTTAGGTCAGATCGTAGAGCGTTGGCCCGTAGTGCTAGAGTTCTGGCTTGCAAGTTTCATATATTATGGCTTACTATAATTTAGACCAGAATTATTAAAAAAAACGTCTAACTTTACCTATTTCTTTAGCTTGAGCAAGTAAGCCTATTTCTGATCTTTAGCAAGACTAAACTTAGGATTTGTTGCCTTTATAGTTGTTTCCAGTTTTCTAGATTGTCTTTATCTTCCCATCTTTCTTTTGCGCTGTGGGGACCACTAAGTAGATCTTGTGGCGTTACCGACCCGACAGTCACACGGAAAGATAAAGCAATGGCAAACTAGGTTTGCCTATTTGTTACTGGCTTTTTCGTTAGGAGCGACGATGCTTTCAAGTCAGTTTCGACGGTTTTCATTTTATCTTCAAAAGTTTCAGGTCTACCTGGAAGCGGCCAGCTATTTATTGGTTTCTTTATGTGTTTAGAAGGCTGAACCGTTTCAAATTCATTTGTACTTTTATTTATCTTCAGTTACATCTCTTTCTCATCTTGAATGTTCGTTTAAAGTATTCCTTCGTTACGTTTTTTTCTCAGTCTTCTCTTTTAGATCGTATTAGAAATAACAAAAGTCTGTTTCGTGCACACTGTGACACTGTCTTTTTTGTTTTCACACAAATTCCTATATTAAAGCCTGTTGACCAAATCTTTCAAAACTCCTGCTTTATGAATAGGAATACAACTGTGGGTTAACTAGATTTTAATAAGAAATACCATGTTCTAACTCTTATATAAACATAATCGTATATATATTTTTAATAAAGATAAAGCTGTTTTCTGTGTAATGCATCATATTTAATATATATATATACGTGAAGAAATATAAAACATTTCATCAGAATTCAATGAAACATTAATCAGGGCCGTAATTAAGATTATCAGCAGAAAAGAGAATCATTGCCCCGATTTAATTATTCATTGCATTCAAATGAAAAATTAAATATTTGTTCACTTATTTCCATCATTGTTCGGAAAATTATTTTGGGTTTGTCAGGGCTAAAAACATATTCACAAACCCACTTTTATAACTGATTATTATCTAATTATATCATAAATTGAAATAATAACTTATGAACGTTTTATTATTTATTGTCAAAATTAATAGTTTGTTATATTAAATATTTGATAACTTCATTCTGCTAAACATACCTAACAATCTTTACATTAGTGAAGTAAATAAAATACCT